CTTTTGAAGTCATCTATATTCCATTACAATTGAGGTTTCAGCTATCAGTAGTGTATGCTTTCAACTCCAGAGAAGATAGGAGATCATTATGGCAAGAACTAGCATATCAAAACAATGATTGCATACTACCATGGATGGTCCTAGGAGACTTCAACTCAATTTTCTCTGTGGAATATAGGCTGGGGGTAATCCGGTGTCATGGGCTGAAATAATGGACTTCAAACAATGTGTAGAGGATTGTGGATTGATAGAATTTCCTCATCAAGGCAATAAGTATACATGGAATGACAGGCATCGTGACCAGAGAATCTATTCCAAAATAGACTGGCATTCATAAATAGTGAATGGCTTGACTTAATGCCTAATTGTGAGGCCAAATTCCTGCCAAAAGGGATAAGTGACTATTGTCCACAGAAGATTAGTATGGAAGAGGAGAGACAACGAACCAGAAAAGCATTCAAATTTTGTAATGTTTGGACCAAGTACCCTCAGTTTATGGAGCTAGTTCAACAGGGATGGACTATTCCAATAGAAGGTTGTAAAAATGTTTCGAATTGTGAAGAAATTAAAACTACTAAAGAAGAACTTGAGGATTCTCAATACAAACCATTTCAAGACTATTGAGGATGAAGTCAAAGAAGATAGGATGGAACTACAGCAGGTACAACAAATACTACAAGTTAATCCTATGGACTCAAAACTTCAATTCGGAGAAAAGGCACTATATCAAAAGTTCAGGAATTCATCCTACCTAGCTGAGATGTATTTGCAACAAAAGAGTAAGGCAACCTAGGTTCAACTTGGTGATAACAACACAAGTTACTTTCGCTCAGTTATTAAGCACAGGAAACTCAAGCAGGCAGTGACTCAACTGAAGAAGGAACACAAGGAGAATGAGAGCATAATCCAAACACGATAGCACAATTGTTTGTAGAGTATTATGAAGGCTTACTGGGTCATACAAATACTTCCAGAATACATGCATTCAGGAGTATGCTGAATAGAGGGCCTATCCTCAACGTGGACCAACAAGTTGACTTACTGAAACTATTTGCTAGCAAGGATGTAAAAGAAGCAATCTTCCAAATTGATTGTAACAAGAGCCCAGGTCCAGATGGATATGGGAGTGGTTTTTTCAAAGCTGCTTCGCCTTGGACAGGATATGAGAGAGGATGTGCTGGACTTCTTCCAAAATGGCAAATTACTCGGACAGATTAATTCGACCATCATTGCATTGATTCCAAAAGTGGATGCACCTGAATATGCTAATCAATTCAGACCTATTTCATGTTGTAATGTTATCTACAAGTGTATATCCAAACTGATATGCAGCAGACTGAAGCATGCAATTACACACATTGTAGCTGACAATCGATCAGCCTTTGTTCAGGGGAGATCTATGATGCATAATGTGCTCATTTGTCATGACATATTGAGACATTACAATAGAAGAACCACACCTAGATGCCTCATGAAGATAGACCTCAAGAAAGCATATGATATGGTGAACTGGGATTTTCTGGAAGTACTCAAGGGATTTGGATTTCCTACCAAATTTATCCAGCTACTAATGGTGTGTGTCAGTCACCAAAGTTCTCCATAAATGTAAATAGTGAAAGTTATGGCTACTTTACAGGAAAAAAGGGTTTGAGACAGGGTGACCCTATTTCTCCTCTATTGTTTGTTCTGGCAATGGAGTATTTATCCAGATTGCTCAAGTGTGTAATCTCCTTGCCATATTTCAGATTTTATCCAACGTGCAAACAACTGAAGTTAACTCATTTGATCTTTGCTGATGATCTGATGATTTTTTGTAAAGCTGGTCAAGATTCAATCTCTAGAGTAATGGAAGCATTAGCTCATTTCACTAATGCTTCAGGTCTGGTAGCAAATATGGAGAAATCTAGTGTATTCTTGGTTGGCATTGATGGCCATGTCAAGGAACAAATACTAGCAATGACTGGGTTCTCTGAAGGTACTTTCCCTATCAGGTACTTAGGCTCTCCTAAGAAGTGGAACAAACACGATTACCAGCAGTTGATTGAAAAGATAACCTACAGGATAAAGTTCTCATACTCAAGGCAACTTTCATATGCAGCGAGACTGCAAATTGTGAATGCAGTACCGTATTCCATACATAGCTTCTGGGGAGCGGTATTCATCTTACCACAGAGTGTCGTACAGGAAGTGGACAAGATATGCAAAAAGTATTAATGGGTATCCACAGAAGGCAAGAGGAAGATTTCATTAGTTGCTTGGGATAAGATTTGTCTTCCTAAAAACCCTCAGGGGTTGGCCTGGTGGCAATTGACTTGAGCCTTGGGGTTTTGCCCCCTTTCAAGGTCTCAAGTTCGAAACCCACTGGGTGCAAACAATTTCTGAGGGCCATCGGACTGGGTAAAACCTGAATTAACCGTGGTGCACTTGCGGGAAACTTCTTGCCGAGGGCCTGTGCACCCCCAGGATTAGTCGGGGCTCGAAGAGACTTGGACACCTGGTGCAAATCAAAAAAAAAAAAGATTTGTCTTCCTAAAAAAGTAGGAGGCTTAAACGTCAAAGGATGCAGAAACTGGAATACTGCTTCAATGGGCAAATTGCTATGGCAACTTGTGGAAAATAAACACACCCTTTGGGTGAAATGGGTAAATGGAATTTATATGAAAGGGGATACTAATATAAGGTCACATAAAGCACCTCAAGATAGTAGTTGGTATTGGAGAAAACTAAATGGTATGAAGGAGGGGATGCATGCATGGTATCATCAGGATAAATATACTCTTACAGAAGGAGGGGACTACTCAATCACTAGTAGTTACATTGCACTACTTGGACCAAAGAGCAGATTAAACACAACCGAACTGTTGTGGAGTAAAATGGTAATGCCAAGGCATAGATTTATACTATGGCTAGCTAACCAACACAGATTGTTAACAAAAGATCGACCGCTCAAGTTGCATATTTAACTGGAGGATATGCAATGTCACCTATATGATAATCAGATCACAGAGACATCCCAACACCCATTTGGAGAGTGTAATTGGACAGCAGCAGTAAGAGAACCACTCATGCAATGGGCTGGTATCCATATACAGTTTGGTGAGGTTCAACGAACTTTGGAAAGAATAAAGAGGCAACAATGGACAAGTCTGAAGAAGGAAGTGGTAGTGGCAATCCGGGGGGCTGTTGTGTATCATACTTGGAAGGCCAGAAATTGGAAGATGTTCATGGGAGTAAATGTACATGAAGATTGAGATAGCACAGATTAAACAAGAGATTAAAGAGAGGATAGGTATACTTAGGATGTCTAGAAAACGAGAAGAAGCAGAGATTTTTTGCACACTTTACTTTGTACTTAGTTGTAATTAGATGATTTTGTGAGGCTAACTCTCCCTGCAAACATTGGATTGGCAGTGGAAGTGAGTGCTCTTTAGGTGTTGCTAATTGTAGCTTATTTGTTATCAATAGTAATTTCACAGTTGTTACCAAAAAAAGGCACAAATGAAGCAAAAGATTAAGAGGAATATGTGTGATGCTGAAAAAATAACTATAAACACAGACAGCAAATTATATGGACACAAGAATTAAAAAAACTCAATTAAGTAAGCTTCTCATGTTATTGTTTCATGATGTCCCCATCAAGAAAGAGCCCATGGTTACATGAGCATGCTTTTGCATCATGGTACCTGCACTAAAATGCAGCTTACATGGCACCTAGTTTCTATTGGAACAGTTGGAGGGGGGGGGGGGGGGGGGGGGGGGGGGGGGTTACTATTTCGGCTTGAAGTGTAGTCCTGCTAATAGTCAATCGCTAGGTCAATTAATTCTATTAAGCTATGAGAAGTGAGGGGTTTTCGCTTAATTGGTGAAGTCATGCGCTTCAGAGAAATGTGAGCTTCAAACAGTGATGCGCACAATATTAATGATCCAAATGAGAATGTCTAACTTTGATGTAGCAACGAATGTTAGGTATAAGAGAACAGCTTAACAAGGGAAAACTAAAATGTAGCAACGATCACGCAATATACAATTCAACAACAAGGAAACACATACGAGTCAAATAATTCGAAATAATGCTATGTCAACTGAAATATAGGATATCTAATTTCTTTTAAGGTTGAGCAATTACGAAGGTTATTCAACAATTCAATTAAGGATAAACGGCAAAGAGATAATCGCAACCTTAATTAAGACAAAAAAATTATAAGATGAGATAATAATAATTTCAGATAAAGATAGGCAGTTATGAATAGATAGCATGGCAATAGGAGATGTACAAATCTTCAGTTAAGTCAAATAAGAGTCAAATAGGCAAGAGTGAATCATAAAACAATTAATTCCAAGTAAGCATATAGAGGTAAAACTAGTAAATAGGAAACTCAGTCGTATCAAGAACAACTTCATACTCAGTGAATATAAGGACCTAAGAACCCTAAAGGCCAACTTTCCACAAATAAGTCCAAGCACGCACTCGTCACCTCGCGTACACGAACTACAATCAACATAGAAGACTCAAATCCTAAGGGGAAATCCCTCACACAAAGTTAGGCAAGATACTTACCTCAAAGAAGACAAATTGATACTCTACAATGAACTTATCGGGTGAAAAGACCTCCGGATGGCTCAAATCTAACCAAAATAACTTCAAAACACAAATAAAACTCATGAGAAACTATTCTGAATCATAGTCTCAATATTTAACAAAATCCAAAAAATGATCCAAAAGTCGACCTCCATGCCCACACCTCGGAACCCGACAAATTTTATAAAACTCGAACATGCATTCCAATACGAGTTCAACCATACAAAAGTTATTAAATTTCGATACTATTTCACCCTTCAAATCATGATTTTTCATTTTGAAAACTTCCTTCCAAAATACAATATTTTCCTCAACTCAAAATACAAATTAAATGATAAAAATAAAGATAAAATCATGAAATATATTAAATTCTAGATGAAGAACACTTACCCAATCGATTTGCTTAAAAAACCCACAAAGAATCGCTCAAAATCGAGCTCTACAAGTCAAGATATGATAAAAATAGTCTAACCCTCGATTTGGAAATATATTTTACCTGCCCAGGTATTTATACATCACGGTCACGAAAGAAATGATGCGATCACGTAGAAGGAAAATGGCTACTGTCCGAAATGTGCTACGGATCGCAGAAGGGCTTATGCGATCGCGGAGTGAAGGAATTATCAGTTGCCCAAAGCCACACTTCGCGATCACAAAGCATTGCATTTAAGGAATAATTTGTTGCCCAAATGAAAGAACTATACGAACGCGGACAGAGAAGATACGAACGCAAAGAAGGTGTAAACAGACTTTCGCGATCGCGAACGAGGTCATGCGAACGCGATGAACAATTAATTCCTCCTCCAAAATTACTCTTCGCGAACGCGGAGGAGCAGACACGAACGCGAAGAAGAAAACCAGATGGCAAGTAACAACAGTTCAAAATAGGAGATAAATGGCCCGTAACCCACTCTGAACACACTCGAGGCCCCTGGGACCCCGTCTAAATACACAAACAAGTTCTATAACCTAATACGGACTTACTCGAGGTCTCAAATCACATCAAGCAACGTCCAAATCTTCCAACTTCTAAAACCCGTGCCGAAACCAATCAAACTAACCCGGAATGGCGCCAAATTTTGCGGACAAGTCCCAAATGACATAACTGAGCTGTTCCAACTCTTGGAATCACATTCCGACCCGGATATCACAAAAGTCAACTATGGGTCAAACTTCTCCATTTCCAACTTTCGCCGAAATGCTCCAAATCACCCTATGGACCCCTAAATCCGATTCTGCATGCGCGCCTAAGTCCAATTCTGGCATCATCCAAAACTCATTCCGGAGCCGTTTACCCAAAAGTCAAATTCCGATCAAATTCTCACCGCTTAAGCTTCCAAAACTAGACTCATTCTTCCAATTTGATTCTGAATCATCCGGTAACTGAATTCATCCATGCACGCAAGTCGATACACATAATATGAAGCTGTTGAAGACTTTACGCCGCCGAACGGAGCTTAAATTCTCAAAACAATCGGCCGATCGTTACAACATCTGAATACATAAATTATATTAATTAATAAACATATGAATACATTCTAAAATTGTATGAACTCAAATAAATATAAATACATCTAAATATAACAGAATACAAGCACTAGATTCAGGGTTTAGGCATTGAACGACTCCATCTCTTCAGTAACCTTGTAAGGATGAACTGATGGCTTCTCACGTGCAATAGGCATGTAAGCACCATGGACTTGAGTTGTCGTAGCCAATTCCTCGGGGGCAGAATCACCCGCCTTGACCTTGCGAGCGCGTCTTGGGAAGACGACTAATTTGGCCTTGTAGGTCTTCAACCCAAAAACTTTAACACTTACCACAACTTTTTGGAGCAAAAAATATTAAAAATTGAGGGAGATAATGACGCTGATAAAGGAGAGAGCTGGGGAGAGAAATTTGGAGCAAAAAATATTGAAAACGGTCATGGCAGCTGCTAGGTCTCCATGTCGCATAGAGAGAGGATATAGAGATCGTGGAGAGAGAAATAAGATACTATGTGGTGATTTTAGGAGAGAATAAACTGAAAGAATGAGAGAAAAATATTAGACACCGTATTTAATGAATTAATAATAGGAAGTGGCCTTAAATACATATTTTGCTATAAAATCTAAAATGTAGCTATAGAAAATAATAATTTAAAAGAGTTTTTATTTATAATAAATAAGGTATAAAGTTTTGCTATAAGAGGTAAAAATTCCTTAAAAATTCCATCCTCGCCGCGATCGCGCTTTCCATAAACAAGTTCAGGGAAAGATTTTAAGTCCAATATAATGATTAGGAAGAACCAAGTAACGCCATTCCAAGTAACGCCATTTGATTAGCTAGTTAATTGGAACACTGGAAATAATAATGGTTTTGTTTATGAAAAGCTCGACGGCGATTAGCTAATTTCCACATTATAAATGGCTACGAAGGCCCATTTCCACAATAATAATTAGTTGCACACTTATAGCTTGTTTGGCTAAGCTGGAAAAATCAACTTATTTTGAGAAGTGTTTTTTGGTGAAAACCAATTTGTGTTTGGCTAATTAATTTGAAAAGTATTTTTAAGCGGCAATTAATGTTTGACTAAGCTTTTAAAAAATGTTTTTAAATGTATTTCTCAAAAAAGTGCTTGTGGAAAAAAGTTACTTTTCTTTGCTTCTCCAAAACCGCTTCTGCTTCTACGCAAAAACACTTTTTTTTTCTTCTAAAAGCTTGGCCATACACTTGAACTTTAAAAAAAAAAACTTTTTTAAGAAAAAAGTGCTTTTCAGCTTGGGGAAGCTTGCCAAACAGGCTATTAGTCAGCGGCCAAGCTCCATTCTCTCAAGAGACACTTAAAAAGAAGAAGACACTGCTCTGAATACAACAGAAGTAGCTTTCGTACACAGGCTCAAAAAGGTAAGACATAAGATACATAGCAAACTTGAATAAGAAAGGGGAACAAAAGAAGGGCAAAAGTTATTTACATATCACCTCAAACGCAAAGGGAAGAGGATTACTTTGGTCATTCTAATTACAATCAGCAGCAAACTATGTACAAAACTAAATACATCACCTGTTACTGTTGCAAAAAGATGCCATGCATATAACCCAAAAGCAACCAAAAACCTGCAAAATACAAAATGCAACCACCAACAATGTCTCTATCAAATAGCCATTTTGTGATCTCCACTTCAATTCTCTTTCTATATCAGCAAAAACAAAACAAAACAAAAGAAAAGAAAGATGAAAGAAAGCAGGTATTAAAAGATTTCGTCCCTACCATCATAATTTTTGGTTTGAAAATGACATCAATATAAGTTACTCCAGTCATCAATGTCAAAGTAAACATCATCTTCATAACCATCATCAATGTCAAAGTAAACATCATCTTCATAACCATAATTAATGTCAAAGAAACCATAATCATAAGTTGAATCCTGAGGGAGCTTTAAATCTACAATCTGTTGCCTACATCTTCTTCCTAAATCCCCTTCAAGATTTAGATTATAACAGTAGCGCAAGTCAAGCAATTCAAGATGTGGACAGCCATCAAGAATGGCTTGCAGCCCTACATTTGTCAAGGTATTCTCAAGAAGCGAAAGGCGCTGCAATTTAGGCATACTTCTGGCAATAGCTAGAGCTTGATCATCGTCTTGAAATGATGGAAGTCCAAAGGTAACAGATACACTGGCATTCAATATAAATGACTTGAGCAGAGGGCAAGAACGACCAATAATTTCTATATCATCTTTAGTGATCACGGTGAAATGAATGTGCAACTCCTCCAACAACGGAAGGTTCTTGGCAATTGCAGCCAAACCTCCAGCTAAGTTACAATAACACTTGACAAGTCGGAGATGTCTGAGCTGACTTGATCTGTTAGAAAGAATAACAAATTGATTACATGCATTAAGAGAAGTCCTATTTCAAGGGTGGCAGCAAAAACAAATGAGCAATTACAAGAACACCCACAAGGGTAACAAATCGATTACTTTAAGGAAGTATGTTGTTAAACCATTACTATAACATGGGCCCAGATATACCATTCTTGGATAGAGAAGAGCACTGGAAGATCTTGGAAGTTACCTGAGACTGGTTAGTAGGCTAGATTATCTTATATGAGTAATTAAAACCAGATTTCATTTGCACTACTCATGGCCAATCAGTACAGTGGAACATGGTACTTGCACATTCTTAGGCATATCAAATAGTTTCACACCAAGGATTTTCGCAATATACCTATTTACAAGACTCACTTTCATAATATACTTAAATTTTGAAATTACATTAAATATCTCAAAAGTATTATAACTCTATACCTCCAAATCTTCTCACACATGTTTGGATGTAGCCTTTTTGGTTACGAGTTCAACTGAACCCATAACTTTCGACATGGACAATGAATTTAAATGTAAAAACATACTAAAATCACAATAAGCATTAAATTTGAACCCATAATTTTGATAGTACAATGTGTTCAATGTTAAAAATCTTAAAAGCTAAACCCATTAAATTTAAACTCTGGATTTGCCTTTGTTCGCACATGATATTCTGAATACCACAATATTTTAATTTGAAATGCAATCCAAATTGAATGTATATACCACAATATTCTAATGAAGAGTGCAATAATCAAGCCAAACATACCACAATATTCTAATTTGGAATACAATATTCAAACTAAACATACTATAATATTCTAATTTGGAATGTAGTATCCAAACCAAACATATCACAATATTCTAATAAAGAGTACAATATCCAAATCAAACATATTATAATATTCTAGTTTGGAATATAGTATTCAAACCAAATGTAACTTAAACTTAGAATCATCTAACTCCACGTACCTTTATATGGGAGTATTGTGCTTTTGTGTACATTTCAAGATAATTACTTGTTAGTTCAATTGATTAAGAAATCATTGATTAAATTTTCAATGTAATCAATTGATGACATTAATCGCCCAGAGGTGAGAAGCTAAGACAATCAAATTTGGACCATATCATAACCCATTTAACAGTTTAAAAAGCAATTTTAGGCCAACAAAAACGAACCTCTGAGCAATGTAGTCGAGCAAATCTTTGCTACCAAAATTGTCGATGTTAATTTTGAGTAACTGGCCCTGGCTACGCTCCACAGCAATCCGACATATCTGCTCCAAAACCCTAGGCGTCTTGAAACTAAAAACGTCATATTTCAAGTCAATAATAACATGCCACATAGCGGGGTCATGGCACACCTTCCACCACGTACTGCAAACTCTCTCTGCACTCTCCACTATCTCTATCGTTCCCAGCCGCTGCAGAATGTTTTCCGTGATTTCCCGTGGAAGCTCCACCCACGGCGGTGATGACGACGGTGGTGCAATTGAGGAAGAACATGATGGTTTCAGGATTTTCTGTCCTCTCGGCATTTTGCTTTTTCTTCGCGAAAATTAGAGTTTTGATTTTTCTGGATAGAGCAAAAGGAAAGAAGTGAAAGCGCCAATAAATTCAGTTCTCCAGACACACAGCCTTTTTGGGGTTGATAGGGAGTGGCGGTTTGATTATTTTTATTTAGTACTACGTAATATTTACTAGAGGAGGGATGGCCCAATTACAAAAATAATTTATTTAATTTTATTTCTCTAGTTATTTTGTAAAGATTACTTATATTAATTTAAATAATATATTTAAAGATAAAAATTTATATGGATCTTTATTGTTTTTCCGAGTTAACCATCTAATTTTAAATTTATTTTTGTTGGAATTAAACATCAGCAAAAAAATATAAAAAGGTTTCCAATATTGCATTAGCTTGCTTCTTTTTTTGTTTTTTATGTTTGTTTTTTCCTCATATTCTAATTTAAAATTTACAATAAATTTTTTTTGCAAAATAATAAGTAGGCTTGTTGGTAACACAAAAAAATTCATAGGCAACACATATTGATAATTTCTTAGTGAGTTAAATGTAAGAGAGGAAAAAAACCTAATTTATTTAAACCTCATTAATTTGTGAATAGCTAAAGAATTTGCACTTTTTCCGTTGATAATTCATTTGCTAATAGTTTTAAATAAGATAAGATGTCCTCTTCTAGCATAAGGAAAATTTACATTAAAAGTGGACCTGGAAATATAGAAACAAATATTTCTAAAAGAATACCAGCTCTACTCTTTCTTTTTAGAAACTTTTCTTATTAAGTGCTTGAATTGAAGATAATTATTTGAGCAATTGCACCTTAAAATATTTACTTGACCTTCAAAATAATTACGAAGATAGTAAAGCTATTATAGTTTGAATAGTAATATCGTGAGTTCTAATTTGAACCCATGTTATTTTCTAATCAGATTACTCTTTTCTTATATAATATATATATTCCAAAAACATAAATTTACTACTAATATTCTAATTTTCATTTTCCTTTTTCACATGAATTATCGTCATAGGATTTTCTTTTTTTCTTTTTCCTAATACTACAGTACTATGCTATTTTACAAATTTTACTATATTCTCTATTATTATTACCCCATTATTTTGTGTTTCCAATTAAAATGAAAGGTTAAAATATAAGTGTGTTGCAATGTCGCCAAAAGGAAAAACATGTGTACATATTGGCAGTCCACGTGGTAATTTTTGACTTAACATTACTAGGGGCGTACGCAAAATTTTTCGTAAGCGGTGTCAACAATTTTAAAAAGTGAATAAATAAACAAATATAACATAGATGTTATATTTAAAAAAAAGATTCAATTTATATCAATAAAACGCAATATATTATAATATTATAACTTTTCTCAACGAGTTTTTATTTTTTTTGAAAATTATTCATAAAGCGTCTATATATATATATATATATATAAGGCATCGCATCACACAATCTCTCATATTTAAATAAATTTCAAAGAACTTAAAATTTCTTTCATTGCGTAGATATGATTCGCCTCATTGATTCTTTATTCCAAGTTAAATAAAATCCAGATGATAAACTTGCTTAATTTTGAAAGTTAAAAGATTTTATCTTCAAGAAAAAAGAAAGAAAAAGATGTAGCAATACACATATAGGAGCTCCTGAGCTTTGAACCCCTTACCTACCCCGTTCATACTGGCTTCTTAGCCACTGGACCAAGATGCATTTCCTTTGCAATAATGTTCGTTTTTGTTATGAAATAAAGACTATAAAGTAAAGACAAGTATAGAAAGAAACTGATATATTATTCGAATTCAAACTGATGTACATAATGAACTGAAATCTCTTCTATTTATAGAAGAAAGGAAGCTGCTATGTAAGCTGCTACTACAAGCTGTTGTGTAAGCTGCTACTACAAGCTGCAGTGTAAGCTATTATAAGCTGTTGTGTAAGCTGCTACTACAAGCTGCAGTGTAAGCTATTATAAGCTGCTGTGTAAGCTGCTACTACAAGCTGTTGTGTAAGCTGCTACAAGCTGTTGTGTAAGCTGTTGTTGTACCAGCTATGGATAATCTTCTACTGAGAGCAATATTTATCCATAACGGAGTATTGAATGGATAAGCTTATTATACCCGGTATGGATAATCTTCTACCGGGGGTAATGTTTATCCATGACTGGGTACTGGAGTGATAAGCTTCTTCATGAAGCTTATTTCCATATAGTACTAAATAGATAAACATATTTACGGTAGAGTCCCATATGGATAAGCTTCTTCAGGAAGCTTATTT